TATATATATATATATATATAATCAAACAAAAGTGCCCTATCTAAACTGCTTACAAAGTATGCCGATATTTGTCATAAAGTTATCACCAAGTTACGGTCTCTGCTGGCACTGAGTCGTGCACTTCAGTGAACAAAGTCGCGGTGTGATTGCATCGTCAGCAGCTTCTTTGGCAACTTCAAAGGTACCTGCGGGCTCAGACTTTAACTGTGTAGATTACGTCATCAGTAAGCTCATTTACGTACAAGATGAGGCAGAGACGAAACATCTTGCAAAAAAGTATGGGACCACTCACGTTTTTTTCATCGTAACGTGACTAGTTTTGGTGTAAAGGTGACGATATCAATAGAATCGAAATTCGCAGAAAGATTTCTTGAAAGGACTGACGAAATAAGGCATAAAACTGGGGGATAGCGAAAATGTAGAAGCATTTCAGGGTCCTATCGCATCATCAGCCTTTACTTTTCGTTTCCGTGTCTTCATGACGACTCGACGAAGGCTCACCTATTCCCAGTCTGTCGTGGACTTTCGCAGCTTTATGCACTCGGTGTTATGCACCGCAGACTCCCAGTCCGGTTCAGATCACAACAGTCAACCACTAGCCCATTATTCTGACAGCAGAACAAAAAAAGAGCTGTTAGCGATGCGGTGTATGTCAGCTAGGGATAGATGGATCCAAGAATTTTCGTGAATCCCTAACACCGATACATTGGTCGATTTTTGTTGAATTACGAAAAAACTACTACTTACAAAACTATACTTATTGGTTCATGGATAGCAACGTGGCATTGAATGTTGTCTTGATTAGGCAAGTGGTCTTCTGATGATCTCAGAGAAACACTAACTCACCCGTCTTCGTCACGAGTAGGCATCATGAGATTAGTCAAGGTCACACCACACATTCCAATATACAACCAGTGTGAATCGAGCAGTTAATTTGTGGTTCGCCTACCCGGCAAACTAAATGCAAACGCGGCGAAGCACAAGTTTTATCATCTAGTGTTGTTGTCAATGATGATGATGGTGATGGCGAGACTAGAGGGAACGTGCACTTCCAGCTGAAATACCGCTTCACCCAAAACGCGTACTACGAGATTTGCCGAGGTCAAGCCACGAGCTCCAATAAGCAGAGGCAGACGAGCAAGCGCGGATCGATTCATTATATTGATAGACGTAATGAGGTCTATGTACCTCTATCAAGAAGCCATACTCAGCTCTACATTAGTGCAAATGTAAAGATGAACAAGCTTGTATGGAGGCTCCAATCATTTACTGACGTCTGGCGAATACTACAACATATGATCTTCGGATCCACACTATCAATATGCACTAAAGGTCGGCCTTGGTGCACCCAAGGCTAAGATTAGACACAAATGTGAATGGTTGGAAAAGTAAGCAGATTGGTCCACGTGTCGGTCAGTTTAAATAATCTACACACCCCTTAGTGTGGAACGCCGCACCAGGCAGCGGATCCGGTTGGCAACATGATTGGTTGACGACCGAATCCAGCCAGCGTGGCGCGTCTTAAAAATGCAAATTGAACCGAGCAAACCCGATGTCACACACAACGCTAAACCATAAAGGACGAAGAAAAATGTAGTTTCTGCGGGGCGAAGATGGTGCATGGGTTTTCCAGTAACCTGTTCGATAATGCGAAATTGCGGTGCGAACCTGCTAGCTGAAAACAAAGTCCACCGCTCGCCAGTACATAACCTTAACACTATAGAAAGATTTGTTAGACCAGTGAAACCAACTGACAGTAACGGCTATCGTTCCTCAAATCGGAGGTACTATTTTGTGCAGTACACATTTCGTGCCCTTTGCAGTATCCAAGGGTTTTTAATCCAACTTCAATTCGATCCACACACTTTGTTCTTCACATTACAGGGCCTTGAAACACTATTTCTACTGAAACTTAATTCGGAATCACCATAATTTGGATGCTAATCTTGACAGCGAGCCGATCTCAGAGGTTTCAACCAGTTTTCGCATGACTAGCGGGTGACCAGCGAACGATCGAAATTATACTGGTTCCGCTAGCGGGAGCTTTGAAACGATGCGTTTGCTAAAATACCCCCTTATCCTTCTACCCACTCGGATCACTGGGTGACAATACAACCGGTTTAAAGTCTGAACGTATTGGTACTGTGCACCCAAATCAAGTAATCCATCAGGGAACAGACATCTGCACGAGTGTCATATCTGCTCCACCGACAAGGAATTTCTTTCAACCGCCCATGATAGTGCGTAGGTAGCTCCGTTGCAGCAACATACTACTTTTGGACGGGAACGGGGAAGCGTCTGTAAGCATGTCAGGCGAAGTAGAAATTTTGAAGTGAACTTAGGCGTTATGTAAATGGAAAGTTTCTCTATTTACCGGTACCCAGGAGATGCGCCCATATTTTTATCGCACCCAAGTGCCACACTTTGGTGATAGATGTGAATTCAAAATTTGGGCTTGGATGGTACGGGTCTCGCACTACCTGAATGTCGCTCCACATCATTCAATAATCGTACAGCTGTGGTTAAAAATTAGTGTGACCACGTAATTTTGTCATGAAATGTATCTCGGTCCCCGCAGGTAACAAACCACCACGAGCGGAAGACGAAAATAAGACATTTTGGTGTGAGCTCGTGAATGACGAATAACGTGGCATGGTGCACTGGGTTTGAGGCGTGCGTGTCCGAAAAAGAGCCAGAGATGGTGTGGCTTACTTAAAGAGCCAAATGGCTCACCTTCGAGTTTTCTTTGAAATTCGAGAGAGAAGATGATTCCAAGGAGTACTGCTTAAGACGGACGAACGGCACAGTAGCCCTGTTTGGACAGACAGGGGAACACTTGTGTGTGTGTGTGTACTTGATGAAAGATTGTCTTCTATATAGTTGAGACTACCCACAAGAAATATAATAAGAATACTGGCTTTCCGTGATCAGCACGTAGTACTTTCGCTTGGCAGCTTTGGTCGAACAAAGATCCACCGATCGGTTGCCTCCGCCGTATTCCATATCACATGATTCTCGTCCCAGTGGCACACAAACTAGACATGGTGGATCCCGATTCTCTTGCGTTCATCTCTACGCTTCAAGGACAATGGTCAGTTTACACGCAAACTTTTGTGGCCTGCTGAAAGAAATTTTTGATCCGATGTAATCGTACTTTGACAGGAAACAGAAAGTGATACTTCCCTCATCAAGATGGCGAAACTGGAATACTGAGAAGAGAGAAACAATCGGTCGCATACTTGCCATAAAATATACCGGCCACGTGCAAAAATAACGATAGGTCCATCAACGACTGATTACCGACTGTTACCTCTTCTATCCATGCCTGTGCAGATGAAATTACTCTGCACGATCTCTGGGTCCATGCGCTTCACTTCACACGGGAGACTGAAGATGAAGGACAAGACGTCATTGACTTAAATACCGGGTGTGCTACCATTCTCAATCGAAACCAACAAAGTTTGGCCCGCTGAAGTCACTCCATCTACCGGTCTTCTAGTTTTCCTTCACTCCAGAATTAAGTCTATTCACTGGACATATTACCATTCCCTATTCTTCTTCGTACACGCTTTTTGGCCTCTCATTATCTTCGCACGTAAAAGTCCTCGTGCCATAAGCATCTGGGATGGTTGGTGTCCTATTCTGAGCACTCAAATACCTCGCCCCAACCGGTCCATAGATGCCCTAACCTAGAGCACTGAAGTCGTGCTTGGAGCACGGCTCCATCTATTTATAATTTCTTTCCCTGAATCCTGCGAAACTGTACGCCTTATCAGTGTCCTTCAACTGGCTGGTAACTACAAACATCGTCAGGACGAAGTGCCCTATGTTATGGCTACACAATGGCAAATGTCTGTCGAAGCTTGCTTGTTCCATCCCTCTGCTTGTAGCGACAATCGGACGACATGCTTTCGTCCATCCATCCATCCCACCAACATATAGCAGAACTATTCTCCTTCTCTTCTTTCCTAAAGACATTCCATCTTTGTCACCCTGTCTTCTCCAAACCAAATAATCCAAAACTATTCAACAGCCGTGTTACAGACCGTTCCAACCCAAATTAGGGTTTGTGTTGTTTAATGCATGCTCTACGTTTTCTTTCAATCGTTTTTGAAGGGAGTACCTAACCAGTACCTCTATGATTCACTCACTTCGCTCGGTAAAACTGATGACCCAGCAGCCCTCCGATTAGCCACCAAAACCTTTTAGAGTCACTAAAATCCCGAATAGCGCCTTAATTTCATTTCGTCGTTGAGCTAATTCGGTTGCCATGCCATTTATGCCGCCTAAGAGTGAAGATGTTTTTTGCAACTTATGAGGCTCATAGGTGGAACCTTCGTCAGCAAACATCCGGTGGTCAAGTAGCATTACATTATAGAGTTATGAAGTTATCCGTTAAAGCGCTGAGGGCATGACTGCAGAGAAAGAATGCAAATGCTTCCGACGGGCGAATCTTCTCGAAGGACAAAGGCTTCATCCTTCCCCAATGTTTACATGAGTTCTATACCTTGGGGACCAATAATCAAATACCAGGGGTTGCGGGAAGAAACCAAATAAAATGATGAAGCCGCATTCGATGGAGAAATCGACTGATATCGAAACATTCCACAGATAGTTAATAACTAAAAGATACGTTAACCAAAACTAACCGTCAGAAAAAGACGCTGGATCGACGAGACCGGCCTGGGCAAACGTACGCGCTTTATCGTTCTCAAAATAGAACTCTGTAAAAGCGTGTTTGTCCCACTTGAAATAGGCCAGCAGTAACCGCAGATAGGTGGGAGGGACTTGAATAATCTGAGCTACCTCTTGTGTGATATCCGCCATATGCTGAGACAGTTGATCGGGACTCAGCATCTGGGCAAAAGAAGAAATGGGAAGGAAGTTACTCACACGTACAAGGGTTGGGAGAACGGTCGCACAATTAGCGTAGTTGATTGGGTGAAACTAAGGGAAGTGTTTCTTGTTCACTTGGCGTCGAAACGGAACTGAGGAACATACAGAGAACAAACAGTGCCTACAACACTGCCACAGAACGGTGCAACCATACACGCGGCAGTGAACAACGCCATTGATCCTGCACCTAATACAACTAGAGGAAATCAGAGTACAAAACCTGAAGACATTCTTTTGATGTGACACAAAGATATGTGAAGGCCAGAACTTGAGGATACAACCATTCACACGTATTCGTTAGGAGCTCCATTCGAGTGGTGATCTGTGTTCGTTCCAAATATGGTCGTCAGAGTATTCATCAGAACTGCGTCACATTCTTTGAAGACTGCGCGGTGCGGACCGTCCGGGATAGTTGCCTTGTCACGTTGGAGGATTGACAGCTCATCCTGGACTGTTGTTGTTGAGTTCTTCCAGCCGTTTTGTCGAAGTGCTCAGCTCATTGCTCAAGGGACTACTTAGTGAGTGAACTGCCATCCCATCTTTATTGCATATTGTTCCGTTTTTGAGAGGATGATCGAATCAACTGAAACAGGGCGCGGCTATTGCCCGAAGCGAAAGCCTCCTCTACCTACTGGGTCTTCTCTGTCATTCTTTAAGTCCATCATTACTCGGCTATTGAGTGGTCTGTGTCTAGCTGCTGGTATGGCCTTTCTGGCAGCAACAGAATCTGCTGATCTCGACAATATCCAGTGTTCATTTAGTCGAGTCAGATGGCTTGGACAGACAGCTCTCTTCCATTCAACCTCCAAGAGATCTTCGTCATCCGCATAACTGTTTCCAGTAGCTTTTTAACTACCGATACTTATCCAAATTGATGAAGGCGCGTGCTTCGGCACACGTGATGCTGACGGGAAGCCAAGTGACAACCGGGTTCGCACAATGGTATGATCAGAATCAAGTTGCATACCCAGACGGAAGGACAGTCTTCAATTAAAGTCCTCCATCGGTAACTTATGACCACATGGTTCAACTCAGTCTATGACTCTTTCGGTTGGTGGCCTCCAAGTAACTCGATATGAGCCTTTGTGCCGGAAGTTCATATTGGCCAGGAATAAGCGACAACCTGTACACAACTGAGGAATTCGCCCTCCATTGTCCGTACGCTGAATAGGCTTCAAATCTACCACCTAATTGCGCTTCTTCCGGATTTCGTCGTCCATTCATATCGCCTGTCAGGATGACTGTGTACGTTCTTCATGCTAACTAAAGTAGTCACCCTAGATCTCGATGAATTCCGTCCTCAGATTCAGAACTGTAACCTGACAGGGCCTAGGCTGATGCGATAAATACACCCCACCTACTGCACCAAACTCCATTGAGTTTAATCGAGCAAGACAACTGCACGCTGCGAAGACGACTGGTTAGTGAGATATAGTCCAGTAAAGCGCATTCAATCCTGGGGCTGAGTGCTACTTCCACATCGTAGATACCACCAGCCATTGCTTCGGGATTACCAGACAACCGAAGAATGAAATGTGAAAAATTTAAGATAGTCCTAAGCGGCTTGAGGTCTGCGACCGAAGTAGGGTCTTGTGTGCGTGTTTCGGAGACAACATACATCGACAGACATAAAAAAACAAGGTTTCGACCAGAGATGCCTGTTGCCCAATTTGAGATTAAAGGCGGCAACATCGATAATGCGCCGGTGGTTACGTTCAGTCGTTGGGTAGTCGAAGTGTGCGGTTTTGAGGGCCGGCCTCTTCTTCCTCGACGTAACGTAGCATCTCTGCTTCCATAAATATGGACATGCTGATCGCCTGGGGTGAACGCCTTACCGTCTCCACACTCCTATCGCAGAGGACATTACGACTTTACCTACGGGACCGCCTCGTAATATGATTACTCGCAGTTCTTCGTCGGGATGCTCCCCGTCGGTCCTCCTGGCATGGTTGAACCTTTGTGAAATGAGTTCAACCTAGTATAGTCCTTCCTTCTTCCTTCCTCTCTTTACTAAGACTTTCTTCCCTCAATGGTTATACGAGAGTAAAGCACTAGTAGGTATTACTGGTGTAATGCTATTAACGATGACGATGATGATGAAACAGAATACATAAAGGCTACGTTCATCAGTTTTACCAGCTGCACCATCATTAGCCTTTTCCTGAAAAATGCCGTTCAAATCACTACAGAAGTAACGGTGTCTGCCTATTAAATATTTGCGGATTTCGAACGTGATGTGGGCAATCTGTTAGTCCATCTAAACTACCAAAGTTTGCCAAGTAATCTGCTGAATCAGCTACCTCACACCAAAGTGGATGAGACTTGCATCAAGCAAGCATACTTTACTCAAGTGTATCCCGAGTAGTGAGAAGGGCAGTTCAGCTCGTCGTTCGATTGGGGTCGCATGAACAGCATCAATCTCATTGACAGTCGTAATAAATACTGGTGTTCGACTGCTATACAAAACTGAGAAAGAATACCTAGTAAGAGTGAAGAGAAAGGGAAAAGGTGGGGACTTATTACAAACAAACTCATTTCCCTATGGAAGACGGGTAAGGTAGAGATGTCAATATATTGGTACAACAACAAGATAAACGCATTTGAGCATCATATCGAAGTAAGAGGCCATCAGTGAGGTTAACTCAGCCTCTTCCGCTAGCCACGCTCGACATGAGCTCAACAGTCAACGACAAACAACCTACAGCTATGCAGTCCGGCTAAGGAGTGAGAGCAAGCTCGTTACGTTCCACGTCCTGTACGGTTTCTAAATATGTGCAAGGAGACTCACACTGACCTCAACCAGGTAGGGGTGAAAACCCCACCGCACTCAATTTGACAGCCAACTTTACGAGGCGTTGCCACGTCATGACCTATTCCCGCGGGCCTCATGCCAGCCAGAGTTGGGAGTTGAAGACAATACCTTCTTCGGTGGGTGGGAGTTGTGCATAGTACATGTACCAACCACCTAAACATGACAAGTTTCAGCTATTTTATTGACGGACCACAAGCCAATAAAGTTGTTTTCACGGAATACACCGCTCATAAGGTTGCTGAAAACTTTCCGGTAGCCCACGAGCTGTTTCACCCTTCCTGTAGGTAGGGGCGGTTCCTGAGTTTCCACTTGAAAAGAAAATGCCTTCCTTTCCACCGAAATCAGAGAAACGCTGACGTGAAGACAGACTACTGGCGGACTCAAAATCCTCGAAACCTACTGTTTTACATATTCTCCCGGAAGTACACTGTACGGGAATATGCATCGCACATCAAATACCATCGCATAATGCACTTACCTCATATTCTGGTTCCTCGTCTCTGGAATCTCGAGCATTCTCGGGAACATCAGCCAGATTAGTTAGTTCGTCACTCGGTTCTGAACAAATTGACGCACTTTCGTCCTCCGAGGGGACCGACCCAACCGAATCCGCTTCATCCATTTCACAGCTGACGCGCCAGCTAAAGGGAATCCAAAGTGATTTAATTAACTAAGAAGTACAGCCAGACCTGCCAAATATCATGCAAAGAAATGCGAAACCACGGATGTCAAAAGAGAGCTTTCCTGGTCATGGCATCAGAACCAAAACCGGATAAATCTACCAATCACGTCGAATAACGTGCTGACCAAGTTAATAACAAAATCACCATAACTCTCTTTTAATGTCTGAGATCGAAGAGCAGGGTTCAGCAGGCAGCATCACGTGTCTTGGTCCAGATTCTAACCATTGACCAACCCGGTAGGAATCTGATGTCGTCGGACGGATAGCTTTCATATGGGTCACGGAAGTGCACGATAAGGAATGACCCGAGGGAGTCGTCCGCAAATCTCCAAAATGACTCAACTTGGACACTTCCATAATTTAGTGAATTACTGCCGTTGACTTATGAACCTTTTGGCACACTGACGCAGCTCCTCCCAAAAAAAGAAAGATGCCCCATCGCTGTCGGTTGAGCCATGTACATGTTGTACAATTCCTTTTGCCGACGAACTGATAAAACAGTTGTGGAGAGGTGTACACTGAATACAGTAGCCAATATCGCTGACGCCTAATCCCAGGATTAGCATTGGACTGGGTCATCAAATGGACCAGCCTGGAAGTGATTAACAAGGCTATAAGCTGAGCTGTTCACCCTATTCACAGCGATGCGGTCAGGGTTCTAGAACAGTTCAAAAAGCGACACACAGCACCTCGAACGTTCCTTTTCGGCTATCTTTCAGATACCGAGTGTTCGGGTCACAAACACTACACCGTCATTTGAGACACACTATTGGAGTCAGATCACTCATCATGGAAATGAATCCCTCACGTATACCCTCGTCGCATCGAGGAAGAGTACTTACATCAGGAAAGGTGAAAGCTAGAAACGTATAACAGTTTGCCAGTGACATCAGGGGTAAGCAGCCAAGCTGCAGCGTTGCCTAGAGTTAGGCCCTTTAGCAGGCCTCTCTTCTAGAGAGGATGATTTGGCCATGGACTAAGGCCATCGCCAGTAGCAGCCAGGCGCTTCGAATTGCATGCTCTTGCTGTGGTTCTGATTGCGCCGCTATGCTCATTCAAAAGGACGTCATTTCTTCATGTCGTGTCCTGAAGCACAACCACCATCATCATCGTAATGAACTACCGTTTTGACGCTGAGAATATTTTCTATCGAGATGTATCCGAGCTCATTCATCAATCAAGAATCATTGACCCTGGCATCCTTGCGGGCAATTTGAATTCCCAAATCAGTCGTTTGGGCACATCAAATCACATCTGGGCCAACCGATCGCAGTCGGCGGTCACCAAACAGACAACGTACAGCGACTCTTCCAGTTGTGTGCTTATCATGAACTGTTTCTGCCAGCACGAATTTTAAAAATAAACGCTCCCTCCGTGTAACCTGGCAGTCAGCAAATGCAAACCAACCGTAGACCCAAATGAACCACGTGGCTATCAGCACCGGTGGAGAGCCACAAATCAAGACTGTCGTTCCTTCTGGGGCACTTGACTTCCACCACTGCATGGTGCGTGCAGGTCCTCGCTTTGCTTCAGACCCTCGCAATTCAGCAAGGAGCAAGCAAATCCACCACAGCTCAGAACTATCATTCTGAGCGAGCTCAACTGCCCTCTGCGGTAGAAAAACAACACTGCACTCATAACGAGCACGTAAATGAAGCATAGAAAAATGTAAAAGAATCCATCTGGTGACTGTCAGCCCGAATTCGCCCTCTGACTTGGTAGAGAGGTATGGAGGAGATTACGGGTGCCTTTGGTGAGATTCGCCTTCCAGGATGGGGTCCGAGTAACCCCCACTGCGCCTGTTTGGAGACGCTGCAAGATAAGACTGCTAGTTAATGTTAATGGCGTCCCTGTTGTTGGTTTCTATCCAGACTGCATGCATAAATGTCTGAAGATGCAAGCACTTCGGGGTGGTAGACTAACACTAAGTCCCTTTTTCATCCACTTTTATTATTTCTTCCAAAATAAGGCCTTCAAATATACAATGGTTGTACGCCAGAGAAAACAACATTGCTGAACACTGATCTTATGCCGCCGACGATTATTCGCCGGAGGTACTTCAGCCTGATTAAATATGCCAATGTGGTCCGTCCAGAAAATCAAATGGTGACCAAGAAACAAACTTCGGAAGCAGGCAAATGCACAAGACTGCCTATTTCATAATCCTCACTTACAACCCATAAGGCGGAGATGCCAAAAGTTCCACTGGCACAATGAGACAGGCGATGTTATATATACGAGATGGCCCAAGTGGTTAGGGCACGAATTTACTGACCGGAAGGTCGTGGTTCTAACCCCAGCGCCTTCTCCTCTTCAAAGATGAGAACGATGTCGTCTGCATATTCAAGATCGACAAGATTTTCGTAACAGGATATTTGAACACTGAGGTTTTGGAGACTTTCCATGACTTAGCACAACCATGACATACACAACTAACAATACTCTCATGCCACATCGACCGTCGCGTGGTGCCATCAGCCGGGTCACCTTACTTGCTGCATACAGCAGGGCGGATAAGCGAAAGCATGCTACTGCTGACGCCTCCATTCATACACTTTCAAGTTTTCCGTTTTTCACCCTCCTCCGCCCAAATTTGAAAACTTTTTCCGCAGTTCCCAGCTCTAGGACTGACTGTTTTGCTCACCCTGCATCACACTCAGCTGCAGCTTCTGTGCGTCCGAGTCCAGTTAAGACCAGAAACACTTCGAAGTCTGTTTTCAAACCCCGAAAGCCTGTCTACTTAGCCACCTTCAATGTTCGCACACTGAAGCAAGCAGGTCAACAGGTGGCTTTTGCGCGTACGCTGGCTTCCCTACAAAAAGTGGCGTTAGACAAGGACGTCCACTCTCTCCATCCTAGTTCAACTTCGTAATTGATGAAATACTGAGACAAACACTAGACGGCCTTCAAAACCTCGTGTTCAAATTGTTGCCGGTAGGAGCCTTGTCGATTTGGAGTACGCAGATAACATCGCCCTCATTTTTGAAGACCAAAGCGAAGCACAAGCCCTGTTGAATAAACTGACCACCATCATACCATCTTTTGGCGTGCGTGTTGCACCTTCAAAGTGTAAAGTAATGCTTCAGAAAGTTCCAACTGCTAACATATCCCTTACAATTCAAAGAGAATCACCGGAGATTGTGTAAAACTCCAGATACCTCGGTAGTTGTATTAGCTCTGACGAAAGTGTGCCTGATGAAGTCAGTGCAAGAATCTCAAAGGCTCGAATCACGTTTGCTAATTTGCATCAACTGTGGCGTCAAAAAGGCATCTCATTAGATCTTAAGGGTCGTGTGTACTAGGCTACAGTAAGGGCTGTGTTTCTGTATGGGTGCGAGACATGGCCTCTGCGGACAGATGATGAGACGTCTCCAGTTTTACGACCACCGATGCCTCACAAGCGTGGCTGGTTTTGGATGACGTCAGCGTGTTAGTAACGAACTTATTAGAAAACGGGTACTTGATTGTGCTACAAGCGCTTTAATCCGAGAAAACATCCAGTTCCATCGATAATGATTGCTCGGTCATGTGCTACGCATGCCGAAACACCGTCTACCGAGACGATTGTTGTTCTCCGTACCTCCTTCAGGATGGCGCAAACCACGAGGTGGACAGCACATAGCTTGGCAGAAAGGTGTGACGTGGTGGTCGGGCTTGAGTGCCGCAATGATCCCGCGAGCTACACTGGCTGGAACTTCGTTCCACAAGGTGCAACCATACTAGGAAGGCCAAAGGTGAGCAGCCAGACCAAGATCAGTGAGACCCCGTAATACGAGTAATCGTGCTACGAGGCGGTCTGAGGGTAAAGTCGTACTGTCGTCTGCGACAAAAGTGTGAAGGCAGCAAGGTGTTCCCCTCAGGCGACCAGCATGTCCATAGTTATGGAAGCGGCGATGCTACCTTCCCCCGAGGAAGGACGGGTTAGAAAAGGTCGGCCCCCAAAACCGCACACTCCGATCGCCCAACGGTTGACCGTGACCGCCGGGACATTACCCAATACGGTCGAAATACTTTTGAAAACAAAAAAGAGCCCGGTGCTGCTCAAAAGGCACCTGCTGTGCGCAGCCGCATCAGGAATGAGACAGTAATGCCTTATTCCCTGCGCCCTCGG